TTCATCACCTTCCTATTCCAGCCTCCCTCCCTTGATGTACATCCTGAGAATGAGACCCCCCCCCTGCAGTAGACATCTAATTCATCAGCCCTGGCAGGAGCACCCTGGGGACTGATCCCTTTTGGTTATGCCCCATCACAATGGGCTTTCTGGAATCCTTGGGTCCCCTATGGAAAACAGTTACACAGCAATACCGTGTAGAAGAGGACCCTTCAAGACCAATAGCCACTGATGGTTCATGACCCTCTTCCTCAGGAAGAACTTCCATAAGAGCAAGAGCTAGGTGTAGAGGAGTCACTACCATCCAATAAATCCTCCTCCTCACTAGATGAGGCAAGTATGTGCCCATTGCCATCCTGCACAGATGACTTCAAGGCCATTTAGAATTGCAGAGGCCTTACAGATTCCATTGGAGAAAATGCAAGAACCTCCACACTCCTTGCTGGGCATCCTCCAGATCACTTCTCAAGTCACGATTGTATTATCTATCAATGACGCCTTATTGTCACTAGCCGACACAGTGTGGCAAACACCAATGACCATCCCACCCACTTCCGAATGGGCTAACCTAAACTCTTTGGTCATTAATTCTGTCAACAAAAGAAATGGACAGTATTGGTCTAGATCAGGCCTCTCCAACAAGGAGCTTAGGTGCCTGGACCTTCTCAGTTATAAGAGTTATTCTTCAGCCACTCTACAATTCCCAGTTATTAACTATCAGGCTTTGATGGCAAAATATGACTTCACAAATTACTTGAAATACTCTCATTTTATTGATCATTTGTCTCAAGACTAGAGGGAGACATTTCAAGCTCTCATCACAGAAGGCCAGATGATCACTTAAACTTTCTTTCAGGGTTCACTTGAAGCAGAGGACACAGCTTTGAGTTCTGTTGCAACTGCTGTAGTCATGTGCTGTGTTGTGTTGTGTCATGGCTGCAATCCTCTGGCCTGCCTAGGGAAGTACAGAAGACAATGGAGGATCTTCCGTTTGAAAGGTTAAGCTCTTCAGTGTTGTCACGGAGTGATCCCTCCACTCTCTCTCACTTCTTCTAAGTGACCGTTTTTGATGCATTGGTTGAGGGTCGCACCAACCTGGATCCTTTGCTGCACCAACCCATTCTTCTTCAACATTATGGAGTCTGCCTCTCCCATTTTCTCCTTCCTGGGAGCTCATCACCTCTGACAGATGAAACCTAGATGTAGTTTTCAATTCCATCCAGTTCAGCTCCATCCATCCCTCTTACTCCCCTTCCACATCCTCTTCTGGGACCCTTTTCACAAGGGTCTCTTACAGCAGGAGTTGCATTCTCTCCTGTACTTCACTGGAAAAGAGGTCTACTTTATGGTTCCCAAGAGACCAGGAGGATGGAGACTGACTCTGGATCTCAGGATTTTAAATATCTTTGTCCTCAGTCAGTGGTTCAGGATGATAACCTTGGCAGTGATGATTCCATTTTGGGATCTAGGGGACTGATTCATTGCCCTTGATCTCCAGGATGCATACTTTCATATAGCTATTCAGCCTTTCCACAGATACATCCCATGATTCATCATTGGCAAAGACCACTATCAGTACCATGTCCTGACCTTTGCCTTTTCAACTGTCCTGAGGATCTTGACAAAAGTCCTATTGACCATTGCAGTCCATCTTCATCAGATGGGAATAATTGTCTTCCCCTGTCTCAGCAACTGGATCTTGCTCCTTTCTCAAAGTATAGCTAACAACCAACAAGGCTCTATCCCTGTTCCACACTCTGGGCCTCCAACTCAGCATGGAGCAATCTGCTTTCACACCTATACAATGAATAGAATCTGTTGGAGCCACTCTGGACACCACACTTGCCAGAGAGTACTTGCCTATGGACTGGTTTTCTATGATGTCCACCTTCATTTGCACACTACAACAGAGCCTTCAAATCACAGCAAGGATATGACTTAAACTCCTGGGCCACATGGCAGCCTGTACATTCATAACACCCCTTGCAGGTCTATGCTCTTGATGTCTCCAAGTATGACACAGATCTATCTACATCCTGACCAAGCACAAGCTGTTCAAACCAGTGGCAATACCTTGGAGAGTTCTTGAGTCCCTCGACTGGAGGAAGGATCCTCAAAAGGCCTGTGTGGGAGTTCTGTGTTCGCATCTCTTCTCCTCCTTGCTCCTCCCCCCCCCCCCCCACCGCCAATATCAGCACAAACCCCTTTCCAAGAATTTTCAGGTCAAGGCAAATGGACCCTCAGCACTGTTATTCCTCTATATCAGCATTCTGGATCTCCAAGTACTTGGGTACTCATGCTGTCATTTCCTACCCAGCATCAGAGGTCACCTAGTCAGACAGGGCTGCAGTATATTATATAAAACACCAAGGGGAGCAAGATCTCAGTCCTTATGCACAGAGTCCATAAAACTATGGAATTGGTGCATATCTCACATCCTAGAAATCTCAGTTTCACCTATTGTGGTTACAGAACACTGTAGCTGACTCCCTGAGCAGGATTTTCCGTGAAGACCACAGAACACAGTATTTCAGGAAATTTGTCTCACCAGGGGCTCCTCAAAGAGAGATCTCTTTTTGTGATACTGTTCAACAGGAATTGCCGGCATTTCTGCTTGAGGGGAGGGCATGCTTCCAAGTCACTGGGAGATGCTCCTCTTGGCCTTGTATCTGGCTGTATGCTTACTCCCTAATGCCATTGCTCCTTAAGTTCCTGAACAAGCTGAAACGAGAGATGGGTTTCCATCCTTAGAACACTATCATGGCCACCTAGGTCTGGCCAACACAGTTCCTGCGATGGGCTCTTTGCCTTCCTCTGACAGCAGACCTCCTGACCCAGGAATCCAGCACCAAGACTCACCCCAACATCTTGTGTCTCCACCTAAAGGGCTGGCTCCTTGACGACACTCTGACATAGAAGGAGACTGGTGTCTAGAGGTCCAAATAATGTTGATGGAAAGCTGAAAACCTGCCACAAGGAAAACTCACCTAGAGAAGTGGAATAGTTTCTGAAGCTGATTTGTCCAATGATCCATAATCTCCTCTTGGGTCTCTCCTCACACACATTTTCAATTACGTGCTAAATTTAAAAATTATGGCTCTATCACTGACCTCAGTTAAGGTTCACTTAGCTGCCATTACAGTGTTCCACTGTCTGACTGAGGGTGAGTTGTCGCTCACCCTACTGCTGCAAGATTCATTCTGTTCAACCTCTTTCCACGTGTCAAAGAACCTACTCCACTTGGGGACCTCAGCTTCATCCTCAATGCCTTGAGGAATCTTTTGGGGACCTGTTACTTTCTTCATTTGTGCTTCAAGACTTCATTCCTCATAACCATCACTTCGGCCACATGGGTAGGAGAACTAGGAGTGCTAATGGCTGATCCGCCATACAAGTTTCAGAGTAGCAGCCGTGTTAGTCTGTATCCGCAAAAAGAACAGGAGTACTTGTGGCACCTTAGAGACTAACAAATTTATTAGAGCATAATAGCATAAACAAATTTATTAGAGCATAA